TGGATGGTCTGGGCAGTAGACCTGGGGCTTTGGGGCGGGGGTCAGGGTAGGGAGAATGGCCTGGTTGGTTGCCGGGGCTACGGGGTCGTGTTCTTGTTTTGCTTGTGCAATTTTAAAAGGTTGTGCCAAGCCTAGATATTTTATTTAGTGAACTTGATACGGACTATATGGAATAGGTTAAGTCAAATGCGTTTGGATGGTTAAATAAGCCATTTGAATGAGTTTGTGGCTCATTAAAGGAGTTCAGTTTTTGTCACAAATACACTAATTAAAATATTTCCTGACTGAATCACTTGCCTAAGAGTTAACAAATGTACACAAGTTTATGCCTTTAACATGTGTGTGCAGCAATTCTCTGGTCTTCATATATGACCAGTTTCGAGGGGGCATTTCCCTATAACATTTATCTTGTTTTTTTTCTTTTAGTATACTATTATATGTCATCTGGTATCTAACTAAGCTCATATATGCCTTTTATTTGAGACACGCGTCTGCACCACGTCTATGTTTTAGCCTCTTCAGACATGTCCATGGGATCATTTGCTTCTTCCTTCACCCCACACGCTTCTAAGCTCTTTCCTGTCCACACACTTCTCTTTCCCGTTAGTTCTATATTTACATGTTGGTTATTTGTGTACTGGCCTGCACTTTTATTTGGGAGTTTTTGTTCTTCTTTGTGTGTCTACAAGTTATGCTATTATGTGTGACTTTGGCTCTTGGTAGTATTGTATAACTTGTCTTATTTCTTTCAAAATTTGGTGGCCTGACTAATCTAGAAATGCTACCATTATATTTTCTTCATTAGCACTTTGCATTCTTGATGCGTGTGCCTCAATTGCTTATCACACCCCGAGGTTCCAAAGCCCCTTTGCACCTTGCACCCCTATCAACTTAGGTGCCCAATCGATTAGGAAACTTGAAGGTTCACACCTCGCCACCTTAAGAAGTATACTAAAAAAGTAGAGATTGTTCTCAAAAGGCGCTAAAATGAGAAATTTAATATAGTGGAAGTGATTCCAAGTTCCAATTTTAATTCCAATGATCCCCAGTTTACAAACCAGTCCATCCTAAATGTAAATACTCCCTCCGTCCAGAATTAATCGTCCTAGGTTGACTTCACGGAGTTTATGAAAAGTGCTGAAAAGTAAAAAAGTAGTGGTTGAAATTTGATTAGAGGAAAGAGAAAGATTTGGACCACATATTCTTTACTTTGTTAGGAAAGTAAAGAAGTGAGACAATTATTTTGGGATGGACTAAAAACAAAACTGAGACGATTAATTTGGGACAGAGGGAATATGTAACTATCAGGTAATATTTAATTATGTACAGGTCGATGGGTTGACCCGCGGTCTGTTGACCTCTGTCCCGCATACACGGATCCCGTAAGCTGAACTCCTTGGGTTGGGGTTTGCCTGTGATCTTATGTAAACCTTGTGGTGCAGGCTAACTAACAGATTAATAATTCATGCGCATATTTTTCAGCTGTCTCAAGGAAGTATGATGAGAGGCGGAAGAAGTCTAGTTTCTTCCAGACCAGCATTCTCTAATGATGGGAAGAAGCTTCTTCTCTGCACTGCCAACTCTGTGTCTATTTTCAGCACATTCACTGGCTTACAGGTCCCTCTTACTGCTTTCTCATTAAAATTGTCACGAGTCAGAAGAACTATGGTATTTACTCATGTTGTTCTGCAGATTGGTGAGCTGGAAGGTCATACAGATTTGGTGACATCAGTAATTGTTGTGCCAGGAACAACATCGAGCAAAATACTGTGCTATTGTTGGACGGCATCACTTGATGGTACAATTAGATACTGGGATTTTGCAGTCCCTGATTTGATGAAGACTATTTCCATTAATGCGCCGATCCATTCCATGGTATTGCTATTGCCATTTATCTACAATGTTTACTTCTCAACTGTCATTGATATTATGTGTGGTTCTCCAGATTATGCAAAGCAAATACAAGTATATTATTTCCATGCAATATATTATTCACTTAGAATCCATATATCTTGTGATTATGTCTCGTCTCTTTTGTGAATAACAATAACAACTTACAACAACAACCCAGTAAAATGTCATAGAGGGGTCTGGGAGGGTGCATGAGTGGCTGTTCCCAGGAGGCCTGTAGCTCAAAACAATCTTCTGTGATTAACAATTTTTTTTGTTGATATTCTAGGTACTTCCAGCACTAGCATGTCAACTTATAGAGGGTGCCGAAAGACCTTTGGATCATTTTGCTTATATTTCTTCTCAAGATATGAAACAAAAAGATGAGCAAGTTCCTAAGTGGCAGATATTAAAATGTAACATAACAAAGTCTCGTCTGTGTGGTGGAGTAATATTGGCAAAGGTGTGGATTAAAGTATCATATTTTTGCTATGTAATCATATTGGATCTAATGTCTGGTCTGATCTTGTTGTTATATTTAAAGCTGTTTCCGATGTGGTCTAACCTGATTCCAATAAGAATAAGTAATATTCCAATAAGAATAAGTAATAAGAAATAAGAATAAGTTGATGAAAACAAGCTCTTAGGCCGTACACTATGTGTATTGAAGCTTCGTTTCATTCCTTTCACATTTTTTTACTAAATAATATTCAAAATCATTGTTTAGTAACATTTTATTGAGAGTGTTTCACATGGATTTTGTTGACTGATTCTCAGTTTTCAGCATACCATTAAAGGGGGTTGTTAATGTTTCAGTGCTCTTGGTGTCTGATTCTCAGTTTCTTGCTAAACAGTGAAGTTGACAAGCATCTTTTGGGTGCTTTCCTATTCTGTGTTCAAATAACTACAAAATTTTAAGCAAGGCCAAACACCCTAATTGGACTTCATAAGCAGCTATAAACTAGGGTTTTAAACAGTTTATTTTATGCTAAATTTTGACTTTATGGATTCTCTGGTTGTTTCAGAGCAAAAGGCCACAATTAATCACTGTCAGCCCCAGTGGAAAGTATTTAGGGTTCTGTGAAAAGCACAAAATTAGAATATGGAAAGTGCCGGCAAAAGACTCTGATCATGCAGTACATAAAACAATCAGATTGCATCATACCAAAGAGTTAAACACTCTAGCTTTTCATCCAAATAAAAGAATTGTAGCTGCGGGAGATGTTACAGGAAGAATTTTAATATGGAAGCATTTTGGAGAAAGAATGTTTTCTGTTACTGATAAGTTGGAAAATGGAGATGTTATGGATGCAGAGGAGAGACCGGGAGTGAGAGGTGATGATGATGCTGATTTGTGCACCACATGGCATTGGCATTCTACAGTGGTGAAGGTCTTGTTTTTTTCTTCTGATGGTGCCTATCTCTACTCAGGTAGAAACAAAAAACTATGGCCATTATTTTCAACAACTATAAAGAAGAATATTTTAGGTTTTTTTAATCATGTTACTGCCTATTCCAGAAGTTGATTTGATTTTGCCAGTAGTTTATAGTTTATACACATCTTGTAAATATTCTTCTCCTTCATGCACTGCAATTTTATATTGGTCAGGTGGCAGAGAAGGTGTTCTTGTTGTCTGGCAGCTAGACACTGGAAGGAAAAAATTTGCACGGTTTGGGAGTCCACTTAAATATTTTACCATCTCGTCTGATCCTTCATTAGCCTCGGTAAAAAATTCTTTGCCTATAGTTTTAGTTATAACTAAATTCGATAGTACTTAGTTGCTTCTGCAGGTTTCTTGTGCAGATAACACTCTTCATTTGCTAAAACTACCATCTATGGAAATACTAAAGACCATATCAGGGATCCAGGTATGTATTCTACCATTTCTGTCTCAACAGTAAAAGAAACTCAAAATAAGAGGAAACTGACTTATATTGCACCTCTTTAGGCTTTCCATTGAAACCATTCACTCTTATCTCCCTCCATCCTAATTTTTTTATCCATTTTGACTTAGCAAGCTTATTAAGAAAATGAAATTGTGTGTTTGCGGTTTGGTTTGAAAGGCTAGAAATATTTTTTCATTACCAATGACACAAATTTTTCCTCAACAGAAAAAGGAGTAGAAAATTCCCGGACAACCCCAAAACTCCCAAAAGCGGAATGAGAATATTTTAGGATGGAATTTTTTTCTTCAAATAGCAATATTTTTGCAGTTCAACTAAGTTTGAAAGAATAAATGCAATATGTATTCTGTTGAATACTTTTGTCTCTTAAAATGTAATTTGCAGTTTCCCAGTTCAGCCTTAAAGACATATAATGGTTCAAGCTGTGATGCTGCCCTTGACTCTACAGCTGGGATAGTTGCCATTTGCACAGAAAATTGCTGCATCCAACTCTTTAGCCTAGTAGATGATCGCGAAATTTCACTGGTAGGCAATTTTAAAAATAATAAGCAACTTGGTCATTTGGGTTTTTTCCAATTGGAGTTTGGTTGTTTCTTGACATCCATATATATATATACATATATACATACATACATACATACATATATATATATATATAGTAGTAATCTCTTAACATAAAAAATAACCAAGCAAACATGAAGAACATGCATATCAAAATTTGTTAATGAAAAAAGGTAATACAACTTTTTTTGTATCAGAATTACATGCTAACTGGAGACATAGTAATCAAGATATAATGGTTGTGACTGTCGCCGTGGGTATTTAACATTGTTGCTGACCTGTGGTAGTTGTCCTCATCTCACAATTCTTTAAATCAAACTGATTACAATACATGTTTTTAGGTTAAAGTTGTCATTCTATGTCTCAAGTTAAACATGAAGGCAAAAACTGATATTTTTTACCTCAGCTTCTAGTTATTGGTTTCTTTGCTCACTGATTCCACACAAGACAAATCAATTTTTGATGAATATGTTGATTTATTGATGAAAGACCTGGCAGTCCTATTAGATTTTTTTTTTCCGAATAGGTTCTCCCCAAAGACTTGAATTATCTGTGTTTCTCTGTAACTGATGGTTTTAGTGATGCATTGTCAGCATTACTTTCCATCAATTCTAGATAGAGAAAAGCTGTTACTTGATGTGGGAACTGGGATATGAATTTGATTTGGAATGGAGTGGTGAGGAATAGCTAAGATGTATGGAAACATATTGTGCCACACTCACCCTTAATCAAGGTGGAAGACTGCGGCATTTCCTCTGACCTTCAATTTATCCATTTGTCTCTCGATTTCCACTCCATATATTTTGTGTTTGAAGCCTTACTTAGAAGAGGACAAAGAATTTTTTTGACTCAACTAAGTAAAGATGTTTCAATTGGGAAATGATGGAATTGATCTGTCAACTGTTCCTACCTTGGAATTGTTAAAAGCACTAAGCTGGTACATAAGAAGAGAAACTGACTACAGGTTTTTTGAGATATGTAAGGATATTTGAGGTTTTGCCTCAAGAAAACCATCTCCCACTACCATAGCTCAAAGAAGAGTAACCTAATCTTAAGATAAGTTAAGAAATTTCAGACAGCTAATGTTTATCACGAGTCATCTGCTTGAGTTTTTCAAAAAAGATAATGGCCTTGATGGGTTTGTAATGCGGGTGTGGGGGTGGGGGGATTGCAGGGGGATCTCTCTTTCATGGCAATAAGTATCTCTAGGAACAAGATTAAAAGAGTTTCATTGCATAGATATTAGATAATATGAGTCAGTCTGGGTTCAATCTTCTAGCCCTCACTTGATTCTTTTGACCTCTTGGAAGAAGACCAAGGATGACTGACACCGAGGTGTTATCTTGAGGATTGGATCTTAAATTAGCATATAATTCAAGGAGCGATGTAGTTATTGTTAGCGAGTTTTGTATGTAGGATACTTTTTTTTCTTTATGTCTAGTTCTACTGAAGAATTTTTATGTTTCATTAGTGTTTTATTGCTAAAAAATACTCCTCCTCTTTAATAAAAGCTTGATCATTTCTGTGAGTTGTGAATTGTGAGACACCGTATTGGATATAGCCGGTTAGGTGTCTGATATAAACACTCCAGGATTTCACCAGTTCCTAATAGTTGTCATTTTTGTGTTCTACTTTTTGTAGGTCCGAGTCTGTGAAAGAAATCATCAACCTGGTGATGAAATCACGGTACATAATAACTTCTGGCTTCTCTGCTCTTTTGACACAGATTGACAGATGCAAGGTTTGAAAAACATATCTGGGCCTTAATGCCATTTTCCTTCCCACGGCTCTCGGAAGCCTTGAGGTTAACAAGAGACGCACTTCGTTTTGAATGTAGAACAGTCTTAAAGCACATCTCTTCCCAGGGTAGAAGTATCCATTTTCTCCACCTTTTTTACTATTTAATTCATGGGCCATTGGTCATCTGGAAACCCATGGTCGCCTATGGCGGTTATGGCGCTGTGGCGACCCTCCAGCGCCTGAATTTGGTCGAGTGAGGCGATGTGCTTGAGGCGCGCCATGGCGGTCGCTATTTTGGATAAAAGCTATGGCGCAAGGCGATCACAACTCATGCCTTTCCGGTCGCGGCCAATTTTTTTAATTTTTTCCATCCGTTCCTTTAGATTTGTCGCTGTATTGTTATCAATTAGCTGCTCTCTTCTCTTTGCCGGCTTCTAATCGCAAATTTGCAACTTGCATTTTTTATCGACTATTTGTCCTACATCTACCGACCCGATCCAACCCAACCAGGCCCAGATTTCATTTAAATCTTTTAAAGAAATCCCTATCCTGTGCTTTAAGCTTCCCCGGTGCATATGTGGTCTGGTTTTGGTTATGATTTTTATTAAACTTTCAGTTAAGTATTTTTGTTGATATTTATTTGTCACATTTTTTATTTTCAGTATTCCAAATCTTTTGTTTGTGGAATTCTAATTACATAAATAAAATTTAAAGTCATTTCATACAATATATTCAATTATCAATGGAATTATTTATTTTAGAATAATAGTTCTCTTACTTATTCTAAAATCAATAATTCCATTAATAATTGAATATATTGTATGAAATGACTTTAAAATTTTATTTTTATGCAATAAGATTTCCAAAATTAAAACATTTTGAAGATTGAAAATAAAAAATGTAAACAAATAATTATAAACAAAAATACAAAGCTGAAAGTTATATGTGTGTGTGTGTGTGTGTATTCGCCTTTTTTTGTTCGCCATTTGACCGCCCGCCACACGCCACGCCTCTCGCCACAGAAAAGGTCCTCTCGCCTGACCCTTCTTAGGCCCTTTCCCCACAATGCGCTAGAGCCTTTGGGGCATTGGGGTAATGTTGTTGTATGGAATCTCTAGGAAACCCAAATAATTTTCTTTAAACAACCCAGTAAAATCCCACAAAAGTAGGGTCTGGGGAGGGTGTGTGTACGCAGACCTTACCCCTACTCAAAAGTAGAGAGGTCAAAAATAATAATTTTTGTTAAAGAATTAAAAATAAAACACATGCTAGCACTTGAAGCAGCAATTCTTCCTTGTGCTTCAATTCCAACAATTTGCGCCTTGATTCAAGGTGCTCCTCGAGGCGAACTGGATCAGATGTTTATATCATGCACATATTATGTGTTATGTGTGGAAAGTCTTTGTTGTTATTGTTGTTACTGTAGAAGTGATTGAATGCTCACTGACTCATTACATCTGCGACAGGAAATATAGTGATTGAACTATTGAAGTCACATGCTTTCATTTACATTGTTTGGTTCATGGAATTTTAAAGGGAAAAGAAAAAAATGAGATGGAAACAATTCTTTGATTTTGTTAGAGGAAAAGAAAAGAAAGGTGGAAAGGAAAGAAAATGAGAAGGAAAAATGTACTAAGAGGAGGGAAAACAAAATTCCTCTCATTTTGTTGAGGAAAATGAGAGAACCATTTTCTTTTCTTTTCCTTCTAAATTCCTTGAACCCAACATAGTCTTAGAATACAAATACTATACTATGTTGGAATGATCTATTTGACAAGTGATTGTCTTCTTTCCTAGCAATCTTCAAATGGGGTTTGCTAACTTCTTTACAGGTCATAGTAAATATGGTGGCTCTCTCTCTAGATGGCTGTACCTTGGCTACCATAGAGACTAGGCTTCATGAAGAAGGAATTGGAGGCCTCATTAGTTTAAAGTTCTGGACAAGTGGCTCTGAAAGCAAAGGCTTCAGCTTGTCCACTGTTATATATGAACCACACAGGTTTTACCTTTTTTAAAATATAAGACTTCATTTGGGAACATTGTTTGTTACTACCATCGTTCTTTTGGATAATTCTTTAATGGTGCTTATTAACCTTTTTTTCCCCATTGTCTCTGATGGAGCCAAAGATGCACTATTTTTTTTGTTTTGGGTTATGATGAAATAAAACAAAATGGCTCTTTAATTAGTCTACGTTTCTTTCAATAGTGAAGTTGCACTTAGTCAATGCAACTTTCATAGCTTATCATGGGTCATCTGGAAACAGCCGGTCTATGTTTTAAACATAGGGGTCAAGGCTGTGTACATCCGACTCTCCCTTACACTGCAATAGGCAGTAGCCTTTGAGGCACTGGGGTAAAGTTTGTTATAGATTGCTTGTCAACTTTGGAAACATTAATGCCAAAAGCTACAGTTTGATAACATTTAAAAAATGCTGAAGCTAAATGTTAAAACTAATGCCAAACAGAGCTTAAATATAACTCTTTTTAAATAGCTTTTTCTTACAGTTTAAAGTGTTAATCCTTGTTTTTAAAAATGTGCTAATCCTTATTCCTTGATAATGATTCTTGGCCTTATTGCTATGTACCATATAGAGATGCGGGAGTTTCTGCAATTACCTTCCATCCTGTAGGTAAAATGGCCGTGAGCTCTTCATATGGTGCTGACTTTAAAGTAAGTGTATTCTTCTGGCCTCATGTTGTGCTTAATTCAATTGGTACTGTGCCTATAATATTTACCGAACTAGTTGTTTCTAAATTCCATATCCCTTTTTGGCAGATCTGGGTTCGCAGCAGTGGTGTTCAACTTGAGGATCCAATAATTAATGGTGGATGGACATGCCATGCTGTTGGTTCATACAAGTATGATTATTCTAAGAGTCACATTTTCTTTTTCCAGAAATAGTAACATTTTTTCTTTAGTAAACATTCACATGACAGGCAGTAAAAATGTCACTAGGTTGATAATATCTTACCGAGTAGTTGGTAGAATGCTAATTAACACTAATCTTCTTTGAGGTATTTGTCTTAAAGGCATGCAAGAAAGATTTTTTTTGCTTTATTTTCATGTATTTTTGTATGCTGGGGCATGGCACATCCCATTTGCATTGTTTCTTGTACTACTAAAGTTAGCCATCAATTATGGAGTAAGTGGCTTCTGCATGATTGTAAAGATCCACATGATTAGCACTTGAGGGTTATAGCTGATATTCAAATATGACTGTTTTGAACTGGTGCCCTTTTTATGGTCATATAATTTAACTAAACTTCTGCAGAAACAAGCCAATGACAGCTGCTGCATTTTCTGCTGATGGTTCTGTTCTGGCTGTTGCTGCCGAAAGAGTTATTACTTTATGGGATCCAGACAGGAATGTGCTTGTGGCTACAATTGGAGAGAGTTTTGAGGTAAATTATTATAGCATGCAAATTAAGTGTTTATATTGTTCTTTTCCTGATGGTCTTGTGAAAAGTTTCTGCATTGCTTAGAATTTCATTTGGTGGTTAAGTGCTTGATAGAAACACATATTCATTCCTCTATTACAACAGAGGTCCCACTTTACACAGCAATAGATGGGGTACAGACTTCAGACCTGCATAAATGCCATCTGTATACTCCAAATATGCATAGCAATGAGAACAGTAGTGTGACTCTGTATAAGTAGTTGATAGTTACAACTTACATGCATATGCAACATGTATGCAGTAATCATTACATCACCGTCTCGTGTGGTAAATTAGATGGGTGTTGTGAAATATAAATGCTGTCCAAATGCTCTAAGTTCCAGCATTTCTGTGCTTTAGGACAGTGATAAAAATGTCAGCTTTGACTTAATCTCATTTGAGTTTTTTTTGCCTTTGTGTAGCCAATTTCTTCTCTGTCTTTTATTGGGAAGTCAGAATATCTATTGTCCTCGTCAAAAGGCTGTAATCCACAATTGTCTGTTTGGAGTATGTCAAAGATGTCTACATCTTGGTCATGCAAAATGCATGCAGAAGGTTTGATTGATTTCTTATTCCCACTTTTTTCATGCGTATTATAATTTACGTTCTATTTTGAATTTTTTTATTCCTGAATTACTTATTTTAATGATATATACAGGTGTATCATGTGCTATGGATGGTTTGTCTTTTGCCGTTCTTGCACTTCTTTGTGATCCAGCTAGGAATAAGGCTGCTTCCAATGAAGCATCATTGAATGGTGTGGATGGGATAATTTTATTGTATAATGTTGAAACTCCTCTTCCTTTGGCTACTTGGTTTGTGAAGAAGGTATCTATTCTCTTTCTGGATTTCTGGTCTTTTTGTTGCTCATGGTCAACCAATTAAGCATCCACATTTTTTTATTTTATCATTGTATCTTTTTCGTCTTAATGTTTCATTTATTATATCACAGGCTCGAGGTGGAAGGATTAGTTTTGTTCTTCCAACCGATAAATCAGAAGATCTTACAGATGGAAAACAGTTGCATATGCTATGCTATATGAATAGTGACCATGAGTATGTTCTCTTTGACCCGTACAGCGAGCAGCTGCACAATCAAAAAATTATACAGAGACAGAGGCTTGTTCAGTCCATGGAAGAAACCGGTAATGCAAACGTGATCTACCATACTCTTCTTCCGTCCCAAATTAATCTTTTCGTTTGCTTTTTCACATAGTTTAAGAAAAGTAAAATTGTTTGGTTGAGATTTATGAAGAGGGGAGAATATCAATATGGACCACCTATTCTACTCCTTTTAAGGAATGGGAATTTTATTTTTGGACAACCCAAAAAGTAAAGCAAGAATATTAATTTGGGACAGAGGGAGAATCTCCTTCGCACACAAGTTTGTGCTTTAACTCTTCAAAGGTTGGCTTCTACAGGGAGATTTGGATATGCATCTATTTATGGGGAATTGCCGGAGTTTGATCTTAAGCCAAATCAAACTTCACTAGTCTCAGCAACTCTACCATCAGAAGGAAGGCCTTGGGAAACCATATTTAGCGGCCCATCTCACGCTCTTCCTCCCCTTCCCAAATTGTGTTCTTCATTTATCGAATCTTTACTTGAAAGAAGGACCGCAGCTGTAGAGTGAGTGACCTCTCACCCGTAATTTCATCAGGGGATCGATCAATCAGGCGTAGTAGTCTATAAGTCGTTTGTGTGGAATCCGGATTCATTTAGCACCAATTTTTGTCCTGAAGTTTGGCTCGCTGTGTTGCTATATTTAGCATTGTATTTTATTTAATTTTTATTGTGGAAGCAAATCTGTAATCCCAAAGAAACAACCAAATCTTTTTTTGAAACATTTTAATGGATCATACCTTGCATTTTATGAACTGTCGCATGTTCCCCCCACACCCACCCCCTGAGACTCCATGCGTTCCCTCCAAGTTTCACACCGGTTGCTTGTTTTGGTTTACAATGATTGACTGAATTTATTATCAATGTAATTCATATGAGAATTGGAACAAATTAAAAAATAAATTATACTTCCTCCGTCCCGATTTATAGTGTATGTTTCGGTTTATGATGTTTTTTGATTGAAATTGTTTTCAAATAATTTTATATGACAAATGGTGTAGAGTTAAAAAATAAAAATTACATATTAAAATACCACATTAAAAGATCTACAAGACTAATAATGACAATAATATTTTATTTTATCAAATTGCTAACGAAAATAGAAAAAGAAAGTGAATGAAATTTGACTTTGTGAATAGTGAACAAGCACTATTGGAACAAGAGGTGATATGATTATGTTATTTTATCAAATATGTAACAAAAATGAGAGGGATTCTATTGACACTGGCCAATGGTGTCACTAGTGGTGCCACTACATTTTTGGTGCATCCCTGGTGCTCCGTTCGAAAAATTGATGTTTTCTATCTTTCCTAACTAGACCTGGCAAAACAGAACCAGAAACGATTACCTGAACCGAAATATCCAAAACCGAAACCGAAATGACCCGAAAAATGAAGATTCGATCCATAACCGAAAACCCAAAATGATCTGAATCAAACCAAAACCGAAGTAAATAATTCATATCCGATTTAAATCCGAAACCGATTAGATCCGAAACTGATAATATCCGAACTGATTAAACCCGAAACCGATTAGATCCGAAACCGATAATGCCCAAAACCGATAAAATCCGAAATTGATTAGATCTGAAACCGATAATATCCGAACCCGATTCGAACTAAAATCGATAAATTCGGAACTATGTTTGTCTTTCAATAAGCATATTATATTTATAAATTTTACTTTAATTTTACCATTTGAACTAATTACATTACTTGCTCATTCCCTCATAAAATGGATTATATTCTTGAAAAAAAGTACAAAATTTCATGCCTTAAATTTATTATATGTAGAAATTAAAGACAAGTTACACATATAAATGATGACGCACAAACAAATAAATTTTCCGTAATTTTTAAATAGTGAAGTGTGATATTCCTTATGGGACGAAATGATTATATGATGAATTGTATGGAATAACTAGATTTTATCTTAATTTCATCCCATTACAATAAATTTTATTGATTTGATAGTTAATTTGATTAGTTTCAAACCAATTCACTCAATATTAGTCAATAAAATTAGATGCTAGTGTTAACATTTTGAAAAGACTCTTTAGCGACAGAATTTAGTGTTATCATTTTCAACTTTGAACTACACCTTTACATTTAGGTGTAAAATTAATTATATTTGACTCTATTAAATTTAATTTTATCTATTTTCAACCAAATACACTCAATAATTTATAAATTTTGCACTCAATTGAATAAAATTCACTTAATTTCACTCAATTTTACTCAATTTTTACCAAATTATATTCAAATGGAACATACCACTATTTGAATTTATATTTTATCTTTTCATTTATAAACATTAGTATATTAGTAGATGTGAGAAAAATTTGATATTTCAAAACTCAATTTTAAAATCAATTTAATTATATTAAATTTATATCATAATTAAATATATATGTTTTCATAATTTGTAGTCCAAATTTGTAAAATATGACTAAAAAGTCAAAAAGAGAAGATTATTTAGGGCATAGATAATATAATTAGAAAAAAATATAAAATAATATGAGGTATTGAATTGATGATAGATTGATAAATGTGATAAAACATAAAAAGAAACAGGGATAGTTAAATTTTAATTAGAAAATAATATATATCCAAAATATATTTGATCCGAAATCAAAATATATCCGAACCGAACTAGACCCGAAACCGAAATCTATCCGACTCAAATTGTATCCGAACCGATTTATAACCGAACCGTATCTGAACCGACTCAAAACCGAACCGAACCGAAAAATGTATAGAACGGAATCAAATCTGAACCGAAATTTAACCGATCCGAACCGAACCGATTACAACATATAACCGAAAGATATCCGAACCGAAAAAATCCAACCCAAAACCGATCTGGTTGACCCAAATGCCACCTCTACTCCTAACTCACCCCCTAAACTCGCACCCAAACAAAGCACTGGAGGTGCTCCATAAATGCAGTGGCACTGCTAGTGACACCGTTAGTCAGTGTAACCAGAATTGTGCCCAACAAAAATAAGAAAATAAAATAAATAAGTATGACTCTTTGAATAGTAAATAGACAATTGAATTTTGGATGAAGGGAGTGGCTAACTCCTGAGATACACTTTCGAGTGAATACAAAATTTGCTGTTGGTGCCAAATTTCTGGCCAATATGTACGAGGGGAGAAATTTGTTGTGAGGGCATAAAGACTTGGGGCTTGCCTCCATTTAATACAACATAAATTATTATTTGGTTTCCCATACTTGAAGAAGTGTTTCAAGTCTCTACGTGTGATTGTACAAGTTTCACTTTTGACTTGATATGGAGATTGAGTCTTGGATATAGGACATTAGATTTACGTATGTATCTCCAGATTTACAGAGATCGAATCTTGGATATAGGAGGGTAGTTTCCCTCACTTGGATAAAACATAAAGATTAATTTCTCAAGTGGAACCCTAAATTCCTCACTTGGAAAATCGCATGTACTACATGCAAAAGAGTTTTTTTTAATTATTTTTAAAAAATGTCCAATCGCGAGTTCAATTATCACAATAATTTTGAAAGTGGACCCCATATTCGCACGTCAAACATGCGATTCTTTTACTCGTAATTCACACCTCCTACATTTTTTTTAATATTCACCCCTTCTCATTCCTATTCAATACAAAATACTTACTCCCTTCGTTCTCAAAAAAGGGGTTCCTAGTTTGATCAAGTGTAAAAAAAGAAAGTGTTAAATTGTAATTGACTTACAAATTTGCATTTAATGTGATAGATACAACAACAACAACCCAGTTAAATCCCACAAGAGTAGGGTCTGGGGAGGGTGTGTGTCCGCAGACCTTGCCCCTACTTGAAAGTAGAGAGGCTGTTTCCAAAGAGACCCCCGGCTCAACGCCGAAAGTTGCATTGCTTGACTAACTGCTACTTCATTAATTAAAGAAGCGCAGACAGTTTAGAGATTCATTTTGATTTATTCCAGCACACCCCAAAGCCAAAAAATGGTGAAATTTTGGCTCCATCGGAGATGATTTGTTGTTGTTGTTGTTGTTGTGATAGATAGATAGATTATTAGAGAAAAAGTATGATGTGATAGATAGGGTATGAAAAATAAGGATAAAAGTGGTTTTTTAATAAAAATGGAAGTATTTTGTTGAAAGTAGGAAAAATAAAAGAGGAAGTATTTTTTAGAACGGATGGAGTATCATATATATATGTATGTATGTATGTATGTATGTATGTATTTTTTCAGGTTCACATACTGTGCTCAGGGGTTCATGTCACAAAAGTATCTCCACTACCCCGTATGTGTTTACTCTTCCCTTCAAATTAAATTTCATCAAACTACTATCATATAGGAGCTATTGGATATTGTTTATGACTTCATTTTTATGGTTCTACTATCCCTACGGATTACTTTGCGTTTCAAAAAAAGGAGAAAAAATGTATTTGTTCTCGTCGAAAGTATATACATTTTTGGAAACAACTATTAAAAAACGTCATAAATGTAAAAATCAACTACGCGAGGATAATGGTAACTCTCTGAATTGAGATTACTCAGTTCTTGCCTTAATTTTTCATCCCTAATTTTTATTTGATGAAGGACCAAATACCAAAACATTGCAAATGAAAATAAATGCTTCATTTAGAACACCTAATCCCCTTGTAGGCAAGTTTTTATAATCCCCTTGCGTCCTCCTGTTATATTTAAAAGATCAGAATAATCGCTCACTTGGATTCCATATGACCGTTGATTCCCTTACCCTTTGCAAAACCAACACGAGGGTAATAAAAGCACAATTTACTACTTGTCCATTCATAAAAACTCAGCTCTATGAGATTTGCATAGGTCGTTACAAATTTCTTATTGTGTCTTTCTTCATATTAAATCTGATTTTTACTCCTACTAATACCTTATATATGTTTTATAAGATTTAATCTTACTTACATATGCTAGTTGATTAGCATTTCTCTTCATAATCTTTCCTAAAACTAACGATTTTAAAAAGCAAGAGAACACTGGCACTATGAGTTTTGTTTTCGTAAGAGCTCTCATCTCATATACTTTTGTAATATACATGACTTCAATCAAAATAAAGGTGTGCAAAGCTTTAAACTAGCCCAAAATGTAGTCTTTCTGTACGTAGTCCGCGAACACTTTGAAAATTTAAGAAAACACATCTATGATTATGGAATTCACTCATTTCAATAAGTTTTAAATATATGTTAACTTCACTTTATGCTATAATGTTTTTATAGATGGATTATGTTTTCATGATGATTAATTTTTCATTATTTCCAAAATAACTATATACAAACAAAATGCAGCCCAAATTAAAATGGTGAACTCTATGCTTTTCACTCTGATCTTTACAATTTAATGATATGTACTCACATGCGGTGTTTCCTTAACAACCTAATTTTGTACCGTAATAAAAGTTTTGTTCAATTCTTAGTGCCCTACTCAAGTTATTTAATGTTTATTTCCTTAAAATATAATGTGCTTTAATGAAGGTACACAAGATGGCACCCTAACATTCAAAACATACACTTAACCTTTAAGTACTTGAGACTAAACCTGGCAAAACAGAACCGGAACCGATTACTCGAACCGAAATATCCGAAACCGAAACAGGAATGACCCAAAAAATGAAGATCCGATCTATAACCGAAAACCCGAAATGATCCGAATCGAACCGAAACCGAACTAAATAATTCATATCCGATTTAAATCTGAAACCGATTATATCCGAAACCGATAATATCCGAACTGATTA